ATTTAAGAGAATATATAAACAGGAAAAAGAAGGAGAATAAGGATATTTTGTTGTTTGTTTGTTTGTTTGTTTTTTTCTCTCGTTAAAGAACGAGAGAAGAGACAGTGTAGTGTAGGCGTCCCAAACTATACCTCTAGGCACATAATAATATTAATTGTTATTATTATTATTATATATATATATATATATATATATAATACATATAGATGAAGGCCATGTTTCGTAGAAGACGTTTATGGTTTCGTGTTCATCGTTATCTTCTTCTATTAGTGCTGACATTATATTCCCTTATCACTCTATGTGTACTACATCACATGTTTGGTAAAGGTGAAGTGGGCAATCCTCATCCTCAACAACAAGAACAAGAAGAAAATAATAATAATAATGAACCCGTTGCTACTGATGAAGAATTAGTAGTGATGAAAGAGAGCAAATTACATAATCCTTCAATAAATTTAAAAGAAGAAAAAGAAAAAGTAAAGAAAAAAGTGGCTTATGTTGTAATTATATCAAATGAGAAATATGTGGATGGTGCCCTCGTTGTTGGATTCTCACTCACACAACAATCCACACTTGTCTCTAATGGAGAGGCGGATCTTATTCTCATGTTTCCAGAGAAACGAATATCATTAGAAAGTCAATCTCGACTAAAGTGTGCAGGATGGAATCATGTAATGGAAGTGTACGACTTTTCCATTCATGCCCCAAAAGCACGATTAAAAGATACATTTAATAAATTACATATATTTAATCTTACCATGTATACACGTGTAGCTATATTTGATGGAGATATGCTTATTATACGTAATCCAGATATTGTATTTGATGCCAATCTTCCTAATGAAAACTATATTGGTGCTATTGGAAGTCATTCACGACAATATTTTCAAACAGGTATGATGTTAATTATACCCTCTATTGAAGTTTTAAATATCTTATTATATAAACTTCAACATGATCATCAACAAAGCGATTATAATGGACGAGATGGTAGACTTATAAGAAGTTATTTTAAAGATCGATATATTACACTTCGCCATGCACTTAGTATTCACATTAGACCAGGCGATCCTCTCATTCACCGGGCGATTGGATTACATTATCGTGGAAATTGGAAACCGTGGTTTAATAGAGAAAATCCCCCACCCCCGCCGAAGCGAATTACTCCAGATAATCCTGGACAGGAACTTGGTGAACCCTATCGTCTCTGGTGGAGTGTATATGAACAATTACACCGGCAGTGTATGGCTGTGCGGGATGCCTTTGATTCTCCCACACGAGATAAAAGTGCACCAAATAATTATAATGCCTCAGAGAGTATGTGGTTAATGCGGCACACATCAGAGAGTTATGTACAAGTAATGGAATGGGTAGATACCCAACGGCGGAATTTAACACATCCACATTTGAAAATTGTGGAATCAGAAGAAGGGGCTTCCTGTGATGAGGCTTGTCAAAATACCCCAATAACTAATTCTAATAATAATAATAATAATAATAATAATAATAATAATAATAATAATAATAATAATAATAATAATAATAAGGAAACTTTACGATGTGTAGAAAAGGCGTTAAGTTTTGTTTCTGTGAATTCAGAAGAAACATTACATGGTATTTTTCACTGTGAACACACTACATTAGACTATCCAGCTTCTTATCATCCATCCTTTAATGTTCAAACGAGTTCTTGTTATCTTAATTCTCTATTCGGTAAACGGGAAAGACCAACCTGTGCGGCAAAGGCTCCATTATACCGACGTCTTTGTACATGTATTCCATCATCAGAGTATAGTGATAATATTTCATTTATTCCATTTGGATCGCATGAGACTTCGAATATATTAACAACATCCACTTTGCAGTCAAATCAAACAAGAGAAAATGAAAAACGTAAAGATGATGATGATGATGATAATGATAATAAGAAGAAGGAGAGTTTAGCCTGTACTAGTTGGTTACCCAAACGTATATATAATGAAGAGGAGATAACACGTAGTAGAGATTGTGCCACATTTCTTTCTCAATGGGAACGTGTGGAAGTTATTCCCCGTCAATATGAGGCCCGAACAATAAAATTTCGTTTTTATTATAAAAATGGAATACAAGCAATTGTGAAAGTGGAACAACTCTCATTTCCATTGGAACCTCATGCGGAGTATGCAGCCTATGCTACTTCTCTCTTATTGGGTATTGGATTAATTCCACCCACTACTCTTTTGACCATCTCGCCTATATTCCTTCGTCAGGCATTAAATCAATATGTAAATGAAACGGAAAAGAAATTTCTTCAACGGGAATTATGGTGGATGCGAAAGGAAAATAATAATAATAATAATAATAATAATAATAATAGTGGAGATGCGTTAGTGTGTGTGAGTGTACAGTTGTGGTCTCCACATCCTGTAATCTCCTTTACCCAACTCACACCTCCTCTTACAGAGATACTATTTGAAGAATGGTTAAGAGTTGGTAGTAGTGGTAATGATAATAATGAAAATGACAATAGTGATAAGGATGATTTAAATAAGAATAAGAAGAAGAAGAGAGAAGTTGTTTATAGTCCTGCGATGATGGAAGATATAGCCACGATGATCTTTTTAGATTATATTATTGGGAATGAGGATAGAAGTTTTACACATAATGCCTTCGTCGTTGTGAAGAGAGAAAATGACATTCAACTCATTATGTTAGATCATGGGAAGAGTTTTCACATTGAAAGTGAAGTGATACCAGGAAATATGTTGTCTTCACAAAAGAAAAAACAAATATTATTCACAACGGCTGAGGAAAACAACATCACAACACCCATTCCAATGTGTAAAATACCAGAAATTATTTTACGTCAAGCATTACAACTTTCACGTAAACGATATGAACCATTGAATTCACTCTTACAGTTTAATAATAATAATAATAATAATAATAATAATAATAATAATAACACTGTGAATGAAGATGATATTATGAGAGAAGATAAAAGTCTGTATTGGTTGCTATTACAGAGAATGGCACCGATAAATATCACCTGGCTGTTATCAGAGAATAGTTTTACAGCTGCACAGCTTCGATTGGAAAAGGCATTACAACATTTTGCCCACTGTGTAGATATTTTCGGTTTCCAGTATGTTATCGGTGGTTAAAAAAGAAAAGAGAAAAGAGAAAATTCATATTTCGACTCCTCTCTTTTTATTTTTATTATTGTAGAATCTCAACTTGTGCTTGCTAAATATATTTTTCTCCATAAATGGAATACATACTTATTAATTTGTTTACTTTATTATTATCGCTTTCACTCTTTCTCACTCTCTCAAACTGTGTGTGTGTGTATATATACTCTTGTTTAGTAAAATAAATAATTCTCCTTTTTATTCTTTTTATTTCTTTTCTTCTTTATATATATATATATATATATATATAATCTCTATTATTAAAAGGGTTGGGCTTTCTTTTTTTCTTTTTGGAAAGAGGTGTGATTTATTCATAAACAATGCGTGTGATTATTAACGGTGGTGGTCCTGTTGGATGTATGGCCGCTCTTATCATGTTACAATATACTTCTGATGTCACTATTGTTGAGAGACGCAGTGATATTCGAATTGGCAGTATTCATTCCGGTCGAAGTATTAATTTGGTCCTCACATCTCGTGGACTTAATGCCTTACAACAGGTGGGATTAAAAGAAGCGGCTTTAGCTATTACAGTGAAAGTAGAAGGTCGTATTATTCATCCAGTGGATATGGAATATGATGAGGAACCTGTTTTTCAACCCTATGGATTAGATGATACGGAAGTTAATTATTCCATTTCACGTACAAAAATCAATCAACTTCTTTTACAAGCCGCAGAAGATCGTGGAGTAAAAATTTTGTGTAATTACAAATTAACAGATATCTCCTTTGAGACCATGACTGCTACTTATACATGTAGTCATATTGGAACTGTAACCCTTCAAGCGGATTTATTTATTGGTGCGGATGGTCTTTCAAGTGTGACTCGCAAAGTAATGGTTCGTCAATTACGAGCGGAGGGAATCGCCGTAACGGAAGAAATTGAACGTCTTGGTATAAGTTATAAAGAAATAACATTTCCAAGTAAAAAGACTGCAGATGATAATAATGATAATGGTAATAGTAATAGTAATAGTAATGGCGTGTTGAAGTATCCAATGAATAGTAGAGGATTACACATTTGGCCTCGTGGGGTACATTTCTTAATGGCCCTTGCAGATCTTCAACCAACCTTTACAGGCACCATGTATTTACCAGATGGATCCGCTACTATTAATGTACCTGAAAATACAGAAGGACTTCCAGAGTTTGAGGAATTTACTTCAGATCCTTCTTGTATTGAAAATTATGTGCAGAAGTATTATCCAGATCTTCCACATCTTGTACCGGATTATAAAGAACAACTTCAACAACATCCCGCTTCTTTACTGGCTACTTTACATGTTTCTCACTGGCATCATTCCCATCGAGTGGTGTTGATTGGAGATGCGGCGCATGCCATTGTACCTTTTTTCGGTCAAGGACTTAATTTGGGATTTGAGTCTGTCATGTTATTGGATTGTTTTCTCAATCGTCACTATGCATTTCCAGAGGAGGCAAGTCTGGCCCGTTCCCCACGGGGTTTGGAATTAGCCTTTGAGGCCTATGAGAAGTATCATCATCCCTCTGCAGATGCCATTGCTAATTTGGCAAAGGAGAACTTTGTAGAGATGTCTTATAAAGTTGGATTGGCAGAGTTTCGCCGGCGTAAAGATTTGGAAAAGTGGATAGAAGCACGATATAAAATGAAATTTCGATCTCGTTACTTTCTTGTTACCAAAACACTTATTCCTTATCACTTGGCACAGAAACTTGGATCCAGAATTGATGCTTGTCTAACAGATATTATAAATAAATGTGATGCTTCTAAAGTTGGTATTGATACGCTCTCAAAATATGAAATTGAGGCAAGTATTGATAAACATATTACACCCTTTCTTCAGGCAAATGGAATACATTTGGCAGATCATTTGTTTAATTACTATCCAAAGAAGCATGAGGTGTGCTCGTAATCAGTTTGGTATTTGTCTATTTCTCTGTTTCTGTGCTTGAATATATATATATATATATATAT